TTGTGGAGAGAAGTGGCTCAAGACATCAAGCTAGGAAGCACAATGACACTCCACGGATACAAAATATATACCCCAAAGGCAAGACTCCAATGACCATCTCCTCCAGCCATACTCTACCTACCTTCAGTTACCACCCAGTTAATCCCACCAGGGGATTAACTCACTGATTAGGTTAAGTTTCTCCTCACCCAATCATTTCACCTCTGAATGTTCTTACATTGTCTCACATGTGAGCTTTTGGGGACATCTAATAACTAAACTACAACACTGGATAAGCTAGGAGATACCCCATGACAGAAGCCAAGGACCCAACATAGGATCCCTGGGAAGAACTTCTGCACAGCCATTCAACATGCCCCAGTAGAGTCTATCCTGGACCTGTTTCCAACCTATGGGCTCCTTACTGTCTGTGACTGCAAGGTCCCTCTGTCTGGGGACCCCGAAGTACAAGGCACGTTCATGCCCACAGGAGCTCAGGGTCTAATGGGCAGGACATGTTTACTACATAGGTGACAAAGATCATGAGAGAGGTAAACACAGGTTGTTGGGACAAGGACACATGGCAGAAGGGAGAGAGGCTGGGCAGGAAAAGTGGCCTTCAGGCTGAGTGCCATCCCGTCGTGCTCTAATTCCACCATGGGTACTCCAAACTTGCCCAAACCTGCTAATTCTTGGGAGTCAAAATTCCGTATTAATTTTAAACTTTGGTAGATGTATCTTTCTGCCCAAAAAGAAAATAAAAAGTGACTATGGGTTTGCTCGTCTGGTACTAGTACTTTACCACTGAGCAGCCTATCCGGTCCTCCTTATTTTTTATTTTGAGATGGGGCCTCACTGAATTGCTGAAGCTGGCTTCAAAGTTATAATCCTCCTACCTCAGATCTCCAAGTCACTGAGATTATAGGCGTGCGCCCTTGTCTTTGATGCCAGGTGGCTGTGATGTGCTGGCTCCTCCCTCAAGTTCAGTGAATAGGGCCAAAGGGCACTCAGGTAGCAGCAGCAGGTAAGAAACCTGGCTCTCCTGTGCACCGGCACCCCACACCCAGCAGAAAGCTCAGAGGGGGGAGGCGGGGTCTAGGTGGCTTCCACAGGAGCAAGAGGGCCAGGAAGGATGATCAAAGGAGGAATTTAAGGGCTTAGCATGGGAGAAAGGTAGTCTGAGAGCCAGAAGCAGGAGAGATTCCTCCAGAGCCCCCAGGGCAGGAGGGGGGCTCCACTGCCCCATTCACAGGACAGGATGCCTTACCCAGGCAGGAGGTCTTCCAATACAGGGTCCTGCTCCTGGGCACCAGGCCCTTGCCAGACACATGGCTTTTGGTAACTGCTCTCTTTGGGGACCTCAACCCTGTCACTGGTCCAATGATCCAAAGAAATAACAAAGCCTTTCTTACAAGGATTGCCTGTCACCCAGTGGACCCTGTGCAGGGTGGCTACAAACCCCCAAGACTTATCCCGAGTCCACACTATATGAAGGGGCCATGGTGTCCCACGCAGGGGTGATACATGGAAAGGCAGAGCACCTGTAAGGTTCCTACAGCAAGTCCTACAAGGTCCCTTAATCCTTACATTCCTATGAAACACTTTTCTGCAGTTTTCTCATGAAGACAGTAAACACTGATGTATTCATCCTGCTCATCACTTCATACAAAGTAGGAAGGCTCCGTGGTAAGCACCAAGTCCCCAGCCCTGAACAAGACAGGCCTGTTCTCATKGAGCAGAAACTCTAGTGTGGGAGGAAAGATGGCAAACAAATAGGAAATGATTTCAGATACTGGTAACTGTTATAAGGAAAATAAAACAGTGATACGGAGGGGAAATACCACACTGGGTGAGGGGAGACAACCACACTATAGACACATAAGAAGCCTCAAAGAACAGCCAATGCAAAGGCACGAACAAGTTGGACCTGTTCAAGGAACAGAATTGAGGTCAGTGTGCCTCCAGAGGAATGAAGGGAGCTGGGGGTGTAGAGGGGCAGAGCATTCTCCTAGCATGTGCAAGGGTCTAAGTTCTATCACCAGCACAAGTAAGGAAAGGAGGGAGGGAGGGAGGAAAGAGGGACATGAAGGATGGGAAGGGAGCAGGAGAGAATGTAGTAGAGTACGCAAGGACCAGAGATTATATCCAGGGAATTTTTTTTTTTTTTGTACCAGGGATTGAACTTGGGGGCACTCAACCATTGAGCCACATCCCCAGCTCTATTTTATATTTTTTTTAGAGACAGGGTCTCACTGAGTTGCTTAGCATCTTTCCTTTGCTGAGGCTGGCTTTGAACTCACGATCCTTCTGCCTCAGCCTTCTGAGCTGCTGGGATTACAGGCTTTTGGTAACTGCTCTCTTTGGGGACCTCAACGTGCTCCACCATGCCTGGCTTCAAGATCTTTAAGCAAGGAAGTGACACAATCTAAATCATGGCTATTGTGGGAAAATGGACCTCAGCAGTCAGGAAGTTCAGCATGCAGCTCAGGGTTTCACTGCTATTACTACCTTGCACCCAACACCTAACCTTGTTTCTGTGGTGTTTCCTTTCCCACACTGTAGTCTGATGCTCGACTGGACTCAGATCTGATGAAACGGGCCTCCCGCTCTTTCCAGAGTCTCAGGGTTGTCTCACGTGGGATAACTTCTAGTGGTTCTATGGTGACAACACATGGCATACGTGTCCATGTACTTTGGATTCATCCAGCAATGTTCAACAAAGAATGAGTGTCTAGTGTGAGCCAGGTGAAGTTGTTCTACAGTGTTAAAAATGCATTATCAGAGAAGACGTTTAATAAAAAAAAACTACCCCGAGTGGGAAAAACAAGGGGCCAGCCCTCATTCCTCAAGGAAGGCAAGGCACATTCCGCTGCAAACTCTCCATTAAGCCAAATGTTCTTAAAAAACATCTTTTTGAAGAGGGAGAGGAAATAAAGAAAAAAAAAATTAGCAGCATTTGGAGGACGGGGGACACGCTAGCCAAAGACACTTGGGATTTGCCCTAATAAGATCAGCTTCAGGTAGTGGGTGGCCCTGGACACCAATCCCTGAGTGAATTTTCTATTTCTAACCTCTCAACCTGGGACAAACCTGACTTCACTTAGAGGTGAGCAGCCAAGAGGGAACTATAGGAGGGACTATGGCCTCGGTAAAGCACAATTCATGGGTGAATCACCTCCTTTGCGTGGCTTATATTCATATGTTTATATATAAAGGGCTGGGCTTGTCAGGGAACTGAACCAGTTGAGTTTATACTGCTCTCAGTAATCCCTCCCTCTAGGTCAAAGTCATTCTTCATAAGCTATGAGCAGAAAGGACAAGCACGGGAGCCTTTGATAAACAAGGAGGCTCAGTTTCCAAGGCAGCCCTCACTCACAGCATCCAGCCACCACCTCCAGGAAAGGGCAAGACCCCAGCGCCTGGTCTACCACCCTTACCACCCCTGCTAATGGAACCAGCAAGACCTGGACTTCTCCAGAAGCCCAGTATGTCACACTGGCCATTCTGCTCCAGGAAGATCAAGGGAAACGGGGAAAACTATAGTGTGGACAAGAACACCAGGCAGAGGTTCAGCAGAGCTCCCATGTAGCTGGAAGACAGCCACTCCTGAGGGAGCAAAACCCCCAGGAGCTGGCAGCAGGCCCCACAGACACCTGGTAGGGAAGGGCTGAATGCAGGAGCTGTGTGTGGAGGGACTGGGGTGCCCCAGAGAGGACCTCTCCCTCTCCGCACTGGGTTGAGTAGCGCGCCCCCTTTGCTTAGTGTCTACCTAGAACCTCAGAATGTGACCTTACTTGGAAATAGGGTCTTTTCAGACGTAATTAAATTAAAACGAGGTCATACTGGATTAGGGCGGGTGTGTCGCTAAGAAGAGAAAATACACAGAGATAGACTGCAGTGACGGAGGCCATAAATGCCAATGATTGCCAGCAGCCACCAAAATTTAAGAGAGAAGGTAATCCTTCTCTGGGTCTTTCAAGAGAGGGTGTGACCCTGCCAACACCTTGATCTAGAATTTTTAACTTCCAGAGCTTCAAGAGAATAAATTTCTGTTGCTTCAAGTGCTCTATTCAGGTGGCCCCAGGGGGAAACTCACCTACTCCCCTGCTTCACACCTGTTCCCCAAATCACCTTTCCCAGTTTCAGCTCAGGCCAGGGCCTCCAGTCCACCTGGCCCTCCAGCCTCCCACGCCCACCAGCACTCCTCTCCAGGGGAGGAGAGTGCAGGGGTCACATTTCAGCTGCCACCTTCTGCAACAGGAGGGGAGCCAGGCAGGGAGGTTTTGTTTTCTCCTTTTCTCCCTCAGCCTTCCAGTTTTGTAGCCTCTGTCATGTAGATTGGAGTTTCTTAAATTTCAGTAGTTCTGTTCCTTCCTACACACACACATCACATATGGCCATAAATACGCATTATCACGAAATACCATTGACCTAATATTTCTTTACATAAACTTACTCATTTTACTTAAATGAATTTACTGTGCCTAAGCGCTCTACTACTGAGCTACCCCCCAGCCTAATAATTTTAAAAGGAACTGCTATATCATGACCACAATAAATAGAAAATCAGCATCATTTATCCTATGTAGAACCTCTCTCTCTCTCCCTCCATATATACGTATACACACACGCACACAACACATATGAATGCCTATAAATTTCATATTAAAATTAATTAAAATATGTTTAAAGATCTATTCCTATACAATTTAAACCAACAAGGGGTGGCAATCCTATGAGACATACTGCCTTTGCGGTAAGGTGACTGTCTCCGTTTAATCGTCCTGGCTGGGAGCTCTAGGCTCCTAATCAGCAAAAACTAGTTCAAGTTCTCTAATATTGCTCTAGTCCTCACTCCCGACCCCTACACACCCCAGCACTCCAGAGAAAGGCACCCAGAGTTCTGAGTTCCCACGCGGGGCGACCTGAGGACACCGACGGGAGGCGGGAGGAGGAATGGAGAAAGAGGGCCGACTTTAAATACCCAGTCCCGCGAGTGACAAGGGCGGGGAGGGACTGACCTTCTCGCGCAGAGTGCAGTGGACGTCCGAGGCGACGCGCCCTTCCCACCACGGCTCATCCATCATCGCGACTGCAGCGCTGCGGTCCGCGGCTATCGGGATCTTGGGGCGTACCCTGCCAGGACACGGGCAACTACAGTGGCCGAAGCCTATACACGGCTCCGACCCCCGCCCTTCACCCCGGTACCCTTATCCTCCCTCGCCCCTGGTCAGGGGCCCAGACGGGCGCCCCTCCTGCCTCTCTCAGCGAAGCTGGCGGTCACCTTCTGTCCTGGAAAGCCTACGGGTGCCGCCTCCTCTCTGCCCGCTGGACCCGGGGCGATCTGGAGCTGTGCAACAACTTGCAGAATTTTTATCTTCCCTTTTGCAAAAGTTGCAGAGAAAGTTACCGAGTCCGCTAGCTCGCCCGAGGCTGGAGCTCCGGCGGCCGCCAACGGCTCGCCGTCCCCAACTCCTCCCCCGCCGCCCAGCCTTTGTCCTGCTCCCACATCCTGCCCTCGAGCCGGGGCGAAACTCACGCATCCCTCTCCGGGCGTGGGGGGCCGCAGGCGCCGGGCCCCTCCCAGGGTCAAGAGGACTGTGCCCTCCGGTGCCTGCACGCGGCTGGACCTCGTCCCGGGTCCTCGGCGCTCTCAGCTGCGGGGTCCGCAGCCCGGGTCCCGGGCCGCCGCCGCGCCCCTGCGTGCGCTTGGGTCCCGCCGCGGCTCGCAGCTCGCGACCGCCGGGGGCCTCCCTCCCTCGCTGGGGGAATTGGGGGCCGGGCTTCGCGCATGCGCTGCCAGCGCCCCGCTCCCCGCGGGGCTGGGGGCTGGGAATTGGAGTCTTTCTTTCCCCACCGCTGGCTGGGCTTCCTGCCCGCCCTCCTCCCTCGCCTTGGTAGAAAGCTTCCTCTCACCTTCGCGGACACTTGTGGTGGGCTCCTGGGCACCCCGTAGGCTTGCACCGCGAGCGTGGGGACGCGGCGCCACCTGCGCGCACCACGCGTGAAACGCGCGGGCAGGCTGTCCCCAGAAAGTTCTGCCTTCCGCGTGCATTGCTCTAGCCAACCTGCGATAAGTTCCACCTGTTTTGTTTATTTTTTTCTTTCTTTTTTATTTTTAAACCCGCCCTGGGATGGGGAGGTGGCTTTCCAAACGACAGAAACTTCCCACAAAAGCTCTGGAAAAGCCACTCCTCGTTATCCATGAGTTCCCCACTGGTATTTATTGTGCTTGTGCAAAGTATGGATCCGTGCCGTACATTGTAGAAAAACTAGTCTCCTTGAAAGGTTACGTGGATGGAAAGCATTGTTTACAATTAAGTAGTTTTCAGAAAGGCGCTTTCTTTAATCAGCCCATCTAGTAGCACAGCAAAGGACTGTCCTGATTTTTGTGAGATCTTTGGAGATCACAAACTTCAGATCAAATCCACCTATTAACTGGGTGATTTTTTGACAAGTTCCTCTCAAGAGTCTGGGGTCATGTAAAATGGGAATATAAATTGCACTAAACGAGATAATGCACGTAAGAGAATAATCACTATGCCTGGTATAAAGTGAACACGGAAGAGTCTTTAGTTTCTGTCTGATTGTCTATAAGCAAAAACCCACGAAAAAAAAGATTAAGTCAACTTTGATAAATTTCAATTGAACCTTTAAAAGCACGTTTAATTAATTAATTAATTAATTAATTATACTTTTTTACTTTTTATTTATTTATTTTAAAATATTTTTTTAGTTTTAGATGGACACAATACCTTTATTTTATTTATTTATTTTTGTGTGGTGCTGAGGGTCGAACCCAGAGCAAACGCTCTGCCACGGAGCCACAATCCCAACCCCTTATGGTGCTTGGGATTAAACCCAGGATATCTCCTGCTAGGCAAGCATTCTGCCCCTGAGCTACATCCCTAACCCTTTTTACTTTGAGATAGCAATTCACCTTAAATTGTTAAAACTGGTCTTGATCTTGCAATCTTCCTGCCTCAGGCTCCGAAGTAGCTGGGATTACAGGTGGGTGCCACTAGGTGCCTGGTATGAACAGCAGTCTTATGTGTGGTCCTGGGTTCAATCCAGGGCCTCCTGCATGTTAGATAAGTACTATATCTCTGAGCTGTGTTCCCAGCCCCTTGAAAAGCATTGTTTTTTTTTTCTTTTTCTATTTTTTAATGAGTGCATTATAATTGTTTGTAATAATGATATTTGTTTATGTAAAAAAAATTTAACATAAAACAATTATGAGCCCTTGTGAAAGAAAATTCCTAGAATAAGCCAATAAAAAAAGTGTAGGCCTTTAATGAAGAAATCGCAAAGGTTGAAAGATAATAAGGAATACTAGAAGGTATAGAAAGAGGTAAAAACACAAACTTTACCAAAATCCTAATGGTTCAGAATGGGTAAGAGGGAATGTAACAATTTTTCTAACATACTAATGGAAGGATATCAGTGAGAAAAGCTAAGAAATTAATGTTTTAAATGAGAAGATACTTATATTTTTACAAAATCTTTTTTAAAAAATTTTTTAGGTGTAGTCGGGCACAATACCTTTATTTTATTTATTTATTTTTATGTGGTGCCGAGGATCGAACCCAGCACTTCACTGCTAGGCAAGCACTCAACTGCTGAGCCACAACCCCAGCCCCCACAATCTTAAATCATATTGAAAACTACAACCAATGTTGTCACAAGAATGAATACATTAAGCATCAGGGGAATAACTGAAAATCTATAAATATTCAGTATATCTAAAAATCCACTGTGATAATTATGGAATTTCATTTTTGTTGGGAAAGGGATAAATGGATAAATTCTTTATTTAATAAATTAGGTAAAATTGCAGAAATTAATGGAAGGTATAAAAGTAAGGATTTATTTAAATTGTCAGCAAAATGTAAGAATTGCAAACAAACAAAAATCACCAGAAAAATTAGAAGAAAATATAGGTGAATTATTCAGAGGGGAAGGTCTAGATACTAAGACATAGGAAGAAACCAAGAGTAAGGATGAGTAGATAAATTTGAAGAAATATGCAAGACTTAGATACATCAGATATCATTACCAACAAGGCAAGTGACAAATAGGAGAAATTTTTAACACATGTGACAAAAGGTTGATCTTAGTATATAGATCTCTTATAAATCAATATGTAAAACACTAACCATGCTACATGCAGAAATGAAGGAAGACCTTGAACAGACATGCCATCAAAGAAATCCACAAGAAATTCACACAGGTAAACGTTTTTTATTTTTTTTATTTCTGCCTTATGGAAAATTGAATCTAGGGCTTCATACATGCTAGGCAAGTCCCTTACCACTGAGGTACACCCACAACCCTTTTTATTTTATTTTATTTTGAGAAAGGATCTTACAAAATTGCCCCAGCTGATCTCTAACTTTCAATCCCCCTGCCTGTGTCCCAAGTAGCCAGGATTATAGGTATGGACCACTGTGCATGAGTAAATATCATTTTTAAGTGCCCATACTCACTAGCAAGCACAGTAAAAATTTATAAAACAGTGGATACATTTTTGGCAAAGAATTTTGAAAGCATAATACACAAAATTGGCAAATATACAGTTTGTTGGATATATAAATTAATGCTATCTGTCTGAACAACAACATGAATCAAAAAGTTTTAAGAGTGTATCATTTGACCCAACTATTCCAGTCCTGAAAATTTATTCTTAAAAAAAAAAGCAGATGAGCACAAAGATTTATTTAGAAGAGGTTTCATCAAAATGCTTTTTTTTTTTTTTTAATAGCAAACTGTTAGAACAGGACCTGGCTAACAACAATCCACATCTTAAAAAAATTTTTTTAAAGGAATGTATAATGAATTAGGAAAATGTTCACGATACGTTAAATAAATAGAAGTCTACAGTATAATTCCAATTGTACTACATTCATACATGTTCATTCATATTCAACTGTGTAATCAGAGCAGTAGAATAATGGGAAATTTTAATATACTTTTTTCTAGTATATCTTCAATTTTCTAAATTTTCTACGAGAAACATGTATTACTTCCATAACCACATAAAAAGACTGAATGCTATTTTATTTTTTTTTATTTGTTCTTTTTAGTTGTACATGACTGCAGAGTGTATTTTGACATATCATACGTACATGGAGTGTAAATTCCCATTCTTGTGGTTTTACGTGATGAATTATGTTGGTCGTGTGTTTATACGTGAACGCAGGAACGTTACATCCAACTAATTCCACTATCTTTCCCAGTGAATGCTATTTTAAAATCACAACATAGATTTTACTAGAGAGGCCTTCCATTGAACAACTTGTGGTGGTTGTATTTTTGTTTTGCTTCCCCCCCAACCCCCCATCCCCCACCACCACACACACACACACACACACACACACACACACACACATAGCAGTTCTTATTAGGTAGTTTGTGGTCCCCTTTTCCTAAAGCTCAGCTATCAGTTATCAGGAGTGCTGATAACAGAGGGAAGCAGATACTTGGGGCTTTTCTCCAGAGGCTATTTTAAGAGGATTCTAAACATTCTCCTTCCGTGCTCTTGTATTCCACATTCTCAGGAGCCCCTCATTTCCCAGTTTTATCTCCCAAGAGTAAAAATACATTGCACCAATAAACTGATGGCTTTGGTGGTGAGTCACTGTCCAAAGATGCCCTAGCAGAGAGAGGCTTCCTGTGCTGGACAGCAGGGAGCTGGAGTAGCCTCTTTCATCCGCTCCATCCCTAGCCAAGCCAAGAAGAAATATTCTGTCATCCACTCACTCATTCAAAAACTAAACTTTAAGTACTTGCTATGGATCCGTTACCCTGGCTCCACCCTCACCCCCTGAACCTCATGGACAGGGAAGCACACACTTAAAACAAATGTATTCTACCTGTCTTCAGATTTCTTATGTTTAAATTGGGGGAGGGGAGAATTCTCTGCTTGTTTCAACTTTCCTTAAAGACAAATTGATCAAATATTTCCACCGTAGTATTATTTTATTGACTGCAAATTTGGTGATAGACTTGACTCTCTTGTTTTTTATATGATACAAACTCACAGATACAGTAAAATGCACATGCTGTCACCCTGGTCCCAGACCTCAAACTTCTTCCCAAGGACAACCATCACTTATGTTTCCTTAAAAAGTGACCTATGCATTTACCAACATAGACCCTCATGCCTTTTTTCCTTTTACATCAATGGTAGCATAACATGAATGTTTTTATGGACCCCCTTTTTCCCCACTCGGTTGTTTGTGGCAGTGCCCATGGAGCTGCATGGTATCCCATAGTCCCAAAGGATGGATCTATAGTGATGTATGTAACTAGTCTTCTTTTGCTGGACATTGAGGCTGTTTCCAGAACCACACTGCAGTGGATATTCTGGGCAAATGGGTCGAAGATATAAATTCTTTCAACACAACTTTCCAGGGGACACTGAGGCATATACTTTGAGTAGTGTTTCCTCTGGGTCTTAATGGTTTGCACTTGCTATTTAAGACCAAACGCCTGAAGTCTGGCTTGGAAGACATCTGCCTTGTTATCACTTTGGTCTTTAATCAAAACTCAAGCTCACCCCTTTAAACTGTTCCTAGCTGTTTCCTCTACATAATCAAAAGAACATTTGCCAAATCCTTTGTGATGCTTGCCTAGAAATTCTTGAGATATCATTCTGCAGATTAGGCCTGACAATCAGGCAGGAAATACCAAAAAAAAAAAAAAAAAAAGCAACAATTTGCAAACAGAACTAAAAAATTAGGACATTTATGAATATGTCCCATATTACCTTTT